GGTAGCCCTTTCGGACAAGACTGAAGAGCCTGCTCTAAGAGGTATAGCTCCTACGTTATCAAACAAGAAGTTCAACACCATGAAAATCAACTGTACCTAAATAAGTGTATATTGCAAAGCAGAAGTATTTCTCATTATAAAGAGAAATTCAGCTTCCTATGTGCCTTCAGTTACTCTGACAGTATGTACGCCTTTCTTTGCCTATAGAAAACCCAACCTTTCTTTATATTAAAGAGTACACGTGGTGGAAGAAAAATTGTTTTGTTCAAGGGAGATTTGCTAACAGTAAGAAAACCTTGGAGAGAATTCACATTTTTGATGAAAGTTGACATTAATTTAAAATATCTGTACCGCAAACTGGGGTCTGAGCTTCCCAGGTTGAGCAGCGCTATGTTCAGTAGTGTTCCAGGGACATCCTTAGGACGAATTTTAGTATGCTGTGGGATGGAGTCTGGTTGTGACAGCTCCCACCGTGTGCGTATATGAATGATGGACCTAACGATGGCTTCACACTCCTGATGCATGAAGGTGAGTGGCGTGCCTTGGTTAGCGATGGTTAAGGTAAACTGGTTCTCATCAACAAGACATATTTCCTCAATTTCAGAGGCATAGTATATATCATTTAAAAACACTGTTTGTCCCAGGACTCTTGTTCGTTCTGCTGACGTCACCTGCACAGCTGTCGACCCAACCTTAGAAAAAGAATACAAAAAGTGGTTCAGCACATACTGTTAACAATATAAAGAAAGAAAAGTCTGACACTTCTAATTTTACAAAGATAAACATATGAAATTTTATACTTCCTAAAGAGACATACTACTAAGTTGTGATTTCTCCTTGAGACAGGAGAATTAAGAGACAGTACAATCATATTCAAATCCTTATAAAAATACAACATTTCACTAGGAACAGCATTAAAAGGACTTACTTTAATAGAAACTTTGGTGTCTTTATGAGCCAGTTTGAGAGCATTGTGAAATACTTTCAAATCTTCCTCCAAAGCCAAGGTAGCTGCTGGGAGTTTCTGCTGGTCGTGTTCGATGTGCTCTGCCAGTTTCCCTGGAGAGTCTATGAAAATAAGCCTTTTGCTTCCTTTCAAACCGGTCAAGAGCCTTTCATGGTATTTGGTGTATTCTCTGACCCAAGAGTTACAATTATAAATAAAAACTGCTGAGACATTTTCATAAGCAAAGCCTGGAAAAACTACAAACCATTTAGAAAGAAAGTCTGTTTTAAAGCGATTACTGGGGCCAGCGTGTGTGAGGTCCACTACAATTTCATATGGCTTTGCATAGTATGGCTTCAGAGTTAGCAGTACATGGTATATCAATAAATCTCCGTTGATCTGACCAGTCTTGAATCTGCAAGAAAACAAGACAGACATTGACAGGTTTGCATTTTAGATCCACACTACAAACATTTGAGTGGTGTATTACACATACAACTACTACACTAAACCAGCCTGATCTTTCACACAGTTCTAACAATACCATCAATCCAAAGTAATGACACCAGACTGGCAGCTACAGCCTAAAGGCATCCGTTACTATTCTGTCATGACTCACACTCGGCCCAAGTTTAGTGCCCAGTATAATGAAGCTTGACTTGGGATTTAACTCAACTTAATTTTTGAAGTGCCACGCAACCTACCACGCCAAGCAACCTCCAGACAGACAGGAGGTTTATTCAACTAGAAGCAAAAATAAAATCCACACTGGAGAGCAACAGTGCATCAATTGGAGCAAAACTGGATTACATGAAAAGAGCTCAGAGCTTCCTTAAAAATAAAAGTGTAAGTCCCTCAAATTAACTTTTTACCTCTTTAGAGATTCAAATTATATCTACTTTTATATGTGGAAAAACACATTTATTGCAGAAGTCTTAATTAAGACTAATTAAGCATCCATATACCAACTTTTTCAAAGGGTGTCAAACTAATTTCATTTGCTATATACTGCAGCAGACTCTAACGCTGGGTGGAGTGTTTCTAAGAACGGTCAGTCCTCTGAGCAGTACAGAGGATTTGTCTACAAAATAACTCTTTCCAGAAAAACATTCAGATCATACACAAATATTAAGAACCTTTTGTTCTCATTTAACAATTCCCTGAATTTTATGAGACTGGACAGCGCATCTGCCTAAACCAAGTCTGCGGAGCTAGCAGAGCAGACAAAATTCTACCAGGAAGAATTAATTAAAAATCAAACTCAACAGTAGCTCATGAACATCTAAGGTACTTTTAAATACCTGTCACTGTTTCAAGCTAGCATTAACTCAACTCTTTCAAGGCAAACCAACAGGCTATGGAAAGAGCTAATAAATACTGTAAGCACTTATGTAGTTTTAAGTGTACGGGGACACTGCTCCTGATAACATCTGAGGTAAACCACCTGAGCGTAGGATAACTGAGGAAAGAAATTTCAGGAACAGAGAATAATTGTCTGCTGAAGATACTCTTTTTTTTCCCCATGCTACTTCCTGTTGCTCTGAGAGCTAATTTGGGCAAGTTGGTGTTTTTCCCCCTCTAACATGTCATGGTATAGTTGTTACAAAAAGGAAGTGTGTCATCTCTGTGGTTTTAGTTCTCCACTCAGAGTAAACGACATATAATTTCAGTTACAGATTTGCTTAAAAAACACCAGCATTGTCTAAATCTACTTGCTTTATGTTAATGGCCGTTTACACCCTAAGAGCAAATATATGCACAAAGAAATTTTATTGTTAAAGGACTGAATATCTGAAACACCAATTTTCTTCTGACTACATCTCGGCAAGGTAAGTACACATTTTCCTTCTCCTATTCTAAGTTCCACTTCAAAGTTTCATAGATTTTGTAGAATTTTGTAGAAAATTATATGCAAAAGTATTTTTAAATAAGTAACTAAAAAATAGTAACAATCTGTAGAAGTATTATCTCAAATTGAATTAAGGAAGCTGACATAACTATATTTTCAGTAATGTTAAAAGTTACTCACAATCAGACTGCAAAGAATTAACAGTGACAGTCGCTACTTATCTCTGTTGTTCCTACGTGTTGCAGACCTTACTGTGTACTGGTAGAAGACCCTATCAATACCCAGGCACAAAGGGCTGAACTAAAAAGAAAAAAAAAGCAGCTTTCTAATGATCAGTTCCTTTGCTCTCATGATTTTGAGCAACGCCCTTAAGAACATCAGTTTGTTTATTTTTAAGAAAAGCACATCTGGTCTAGAACACTACAATTAACACTGGACTCAGTGTCCCCTTGGAGGGAGCAGGCAGACAGAGAGTTGCAACTCTCAGACAGTAACATTAAATGTTGGACTATATCTGTAGTGGCAAATGTATCTCATGCATGTCATGTAGAAACTTTATGTGAAACACTGTTCTGTTTCAAAAAAAAAAAAAAAAAAAAAGGATTTGCTGCTTTTGCTTTTTTTCCTTTTTAAAGTATGCTGCAAGGTATCCTCCAAGCAACCTTTACCACATAAAGATAAAAATTCCACCTGAGCTGTAGCTGATTACTAAGATGGTTTCTATCTCAAACTTAACAATAAGGATTCACTTCCGAATGGAGTCTAATTTGATGTTACAGGTGAACTGCAAAGTAAAAGATACACATATCTTTTGCTGCTCCTTTGTTATGTAAGGAGAGACCCCCACGGTTTGTTCCCTGGTTACATACCAGGCAAATCACTTCCTTCTTTTTCCTGGAGGAATTCAGCAATTCAAAGTACTGCTATTCCGACTTTGCAAGACAGGCAAGTTCACCCCTCTGATTTTTGGGAGTGAATGTATTAAGTTCTTTGGTAGGCACGTTAACTTTTGACTATGACAAAAATAAACACTGTCTGGAATATTTAAAAATTACCTAATCTTACAAACGTACAGATAAGCTTTGTTACCTTTAAAATAACAGCTTCAAGAACAAATGTATTTATAAAAATAGCATTGTTACTTTTGGTCATTCTCTGTAGTATTTATATTTGAAACAAACATAGCCTGTAACATTCAGAGGAAATCTTTGGTTCTGCCAATAGCGACAGGTGAAAGAGGATAATAATGGGATGGGTTAATAAGAATTGAACTCTGAACGTGTGCCTCAGGTCCAAACTGGACAACGCAGCAGCAGTGAAGCGGTTCACTGCTTGTCTGACTCGTCACTATTATTTTGAGGTTATTATCTTAGTATCAGACTGACCTAAAGATCAGTTTCCTGCCCCTCAGACAAATTCAACCGGTACAAATTTGAATACCACAAAAATGCGAAACAGAACATACTAATGGTAATATCATTTGCATAATTATCTCGGGCATTTTAAAGAAAATGTCACAATCTGTAACACATTTGTGAGAAAAATTTGAGAAGTACATTTGTGATAAATAGCCTTTTGTACAATAAAGCAGAAAACTTAGAGAACAAATGTTTTCCTAGGCATTTATGAAATACTCCAAACAGCTGTGCTAAGAAATACAAATCATTAAAATAAGTTACTGCTGTCACTTACAGCAATGTTTTAGATTAAAGTTTTTCAGTTGACCATCTTTACAAGCATGGTTACATTTCCCACATTCAGAGGAATACAGGAAAATAAGAAGCAGTGATCTGTAAACTTCACATGGGTTTCTCCTTTCACTATGTAAAAGTCAAAGTGATGAACTTCAAGTTGCAATATGGCCAGCTTTAAAGAGGAGGAACTACCACAGAGTCTGCCTCTACATCACTGAGTAGTTAGCAGGAAAGACTTGCCTGTCTTTGCTCCATGTTCTTTTTTTTAATCGTCGTCTATTATCTACAAACCTCAAATGGTCAGAAGTTTGAGATAACCCGTTCTTTCAGAATACCAAGCACTTGACCTGGTCCTCCTACATCCACTAAAAATGAGGTCAAGTTACATATTTTATTAATCAAAAAGGCTGCTGCCTGCTATTCCCAGAGAAGTCTGATTCAAACCTCTAAGGACTAGTATTTGGTAAACTAATACCATAATTTGTATTTTTGCAGGTGACTAAATAGGAAGATGAAGACAAAGAGGCACAGTAAACCACGCTTCACCTTCCCTGTCGTGATAATATTTTCTTTGTGTTTGCAAATAAGTGCAAACCATACTGGTTATCCTAGGGTTATAAATGAAACCTGGAATCCTATCAGCCACAACCTAAGTGGAAGCCAGCATGTAACAGAAGCCAATACAAATTATCCTTTCAGCATCAGTTTCAGCAGCAAAATGACCACTTTTGAAATGCAGACAAGTACCCTGCAATCCTCATCCTCCACAATGGCCCAAAATTCAACATCTTCCCCTGAAAAGAGTGCTGTTTCTGCCACTGGAGGACCTAATACTAGCAAACCCAAGAGTACAATGACAAAAGAAACATGTGAAGACAATAAGTCTCTTATACTGATTTGCTTCGTTATAATAGCAGTACTTGTGCTCATCTGCACCTTCTTATTTCTGTCAACAGTTGTAATAGCAAACAAAATGTCCTATCTCAAAAAAACTCAGCGAGGAAAACGTAGGCCCAGGAGCAACGGTGATATTCTGGCAACTAACAGTTTATGGCCAACTGCAGCAGGAACATGGCAGAGAATGCCTAAGGAGACAACTGGAGCTGACTTGATAATGCAAGACTTAATATCAGGGAGAGATGCTGCGATCCAAAGGAAAACCAAAGATGAAGCTACTGAGAAACTCACTAAAGAAATAGATAATGAGCAGGAAAACAAAGAACTAAAGTCACACAAACCTATCTTAACCAATTTTGTAGTTGAGATTTAATTTATACTCGGGTAAAAACTCATCTTTTGCCTTTTTTACGCCATTAATATAAGGCAAAAACTTAGCTTTCTAGTAACAACATGAATTTCAACACAGGAAAGCTAAATTCAGATCTTAGGCTTTTTCCTCTTATGATAGTGGGAATGCTGCCACAACTTGTAGATCTAGAAGGGAATAAGATTGTGTTCAATAGTTTTCTATAAATAGCATTGTCCTGGTGTGGCTGAAACCAGCTTCAACTCCTTTGACCAGAAATCTTGGTGACAGGAGCTGAATGGGATAAAATAAAAGGACAGAAGTCTGCCCATTCTCAAAGATCATTGGGAGGACAAAAAAAGGAAAGAACTGTTACTCTCATAAATATACCATGCCATAAGGTGCTACACAGGTATAACCAAGTTGCTTCTTTAAGAAAACCGTAACTCAGTCACAACTTTGATGCAACTACTGAATCAGGAACTAGTCCCTCTCAAAATGCCCTTTCAGGTTTTTCCATCAAGAACTTCTTAAACCAGCTTAATTGCTTTTGAACCAGACTGAGATTTGAATCATATTTATTGTGTTTTGACTCTGTATATGAATATATGACTTTGTATTATATGTTAGAATATGAGAACTGTTTCAATTTGCTATCTTCAATAAACTAGCAACATCATTTTTTAAATAACTTGACTTATGTGATACTATTTCTCCAAGTCAAAATATCACAAAAAATATTACACAAGGCATTTTGGAATATTATATTCCTATAATATTTGCAGAAGGTCAGTAAAGGTCTTCTCTGATGACTAGCTGTGATTTCTTGCATCACAGAAACACACTCCACTTCATCCTAATACCACCAGTTAGAACATGCAAAAAATTTCTTCAAAACCACCACAATTTTTAGTTTCTTTATTCCCATAGAGACTTTATTTTCCCATATTTTTGGGGAGATGTCTGTGTCTGCTCTCACTACAGCAGACCTTTGTTATTTTAAGGAAACATGAGAAGCTTTCCAAAGGCAGATGCTTGGGTTAAAGAAGATCTGTTGCACCATGGCTACAAGTCCTAAAACTGCAAAATAACAAAGCTCTAAACATCCTGTGCATCTGTAATAAACATTTTTGACACAAGAGATGTTTGTATGAGTTTGAAAGAATCTGGACATAAGACTGAATCCTCGATTCATATTCCATTACATCACCCATACACTTAGCTGAAAGGGCAAGTAAAGAAGCAACAGAGAAGCAAGAAGACAGCATCATTGAAGCCAACAGAGTGCAAGATGTCAAAAAACTGCAAGTGCCATGCCAAAGGTGGTTTGTGCAGTAAGGAAGATAACGTTGGAAGGAGTTTACAAGCTTAGCCCAGAACTGGGAGTCATTAGAAAGTAAGTTCATTGGAGATGGAAAAAAACCCCACAACTACAGGGCACATTCCAATGCATCTGCCATAAATCACATATTCAGACCTTAGAGCTCAAAGGGAGAAGGCACAACACAACACACAAGTAGAATGGGAGGACAAAGCATTATGTCACTTATTTCTAAGACACGAGGAGAAAGGCCAGGAGAAGAACAAGGGCAAACTGTGACAGATCAGTGATGACAACCTAGTGCTCAGAGGAGATGAACTGAGAACATCTCACACTAGTGACAGAAAGAAAGCTAAAGGGCAGGGTTGGGGAATGCTGCATTGCAGTTACCTTCTCCTTCCCCAAAATGACCACGAGCACAGGAGGCAACAGCAGAGGCTGTGCAAGCACTAAAAAAAAAAAAGAATCCGAGATAGCAAACGTGAGAATCTAACCTGGTGTAAAACTGCAGACAGCTAGGAAGGTAACAGAATAAAACAGCAGAATGAATCTGTAAGAGAGTTAGCCAGTCCGTATACAGGAACACAGTAAGTTAGCAGGCAGCCGATTAAAGGGGTAAAACAGCAGTGTCACGCAAAAAGCAGGCAAAAAAAGGAAAGAATCACAATCACATCAGTGGAAGCAAGAAAAAACAGGAAGGAAAAAGAACTGTCAATGAGGTGGGAACTGTGGCAAAAGATAGGTGGAGACTAAGAGGGTTGAAGAGCGTGGGGATTAGATGAAGGAATTGGACAAGAAACTACAAGTTATAATGTGAGTACGGGATCAAGATTTGTGTTTGCTGCAGGAGCAGGGAGTCTGAAAAAGAGAACTCATGCAATCATAAGAGGCGCAGAACAGGAAAAGCAGAAGGAGATGAAGAAGTTGCAGAAGAATCTGGCAGTAGCTACTTGGCATTGGCAAAATACACTTGCAAAATGCTGTGAGGACATACTTGTGTAGGTTTTTTTTTGCCAGGCAGCCTTTCTAGGCAAAAATGCTCAAGGAGACAAAAGAAAGTAGTTTGGGTTACACTAAATGGTATGGACAAAGACAGACAGTGGGAAAACAGCTGCTCTGACAGCACAGCCCTCCATTAATGATGGCAGCAGGTACCGAAGTTGTCCAAACAGAAAGATAACATGGAGAGCAGGGGGCAGAGGAAGGGTGAAATCTGTAGTTATCTGCCTTTTAATGCAGCTACACAAACGAAGATGCGTAAGCAAGCCAGCATCCTGTGATCAGACGGCTTTCTATGACTCACTGTAATGAACCTAAGGTTGCTTTTCCACTAACGATCATGACTGCACACCAAACCCACCACTGAAATTAAATCAGTAAGATTCAAATCCAATCCAAACTTCCATAACTTTTGACTCACACAGAAGTAACTATAACTGTTTTCAGCAAAGACAGGGAAACAAGTATTTATGAATTTCTAGATAATAGGCACGTATCAGACAAAAGCCACAAAATTTGAGTTTTATGAAGACAGCAGAGCTGAAAAGTTTGTTCGTAAAGCATGCAAACTCTGAGATAAGGCTCTTAGTAATCTCCTCACTCTTGACACTTCCTGCAGCAAGCGCTGGTAAACTTCCTCTTTAGCTGTAGAAACCTACTTCAACATGAAATGAGCCATTTTAAGCAGCTTGACTTTCAGCACAGTCTGTTTTCCTAAGGCTTCAAATAAAAAAAGACGATGCTTGCTTGATAGAAGATAAATGTGCAGGTAAGAATCAACTTCAAGATGAAAAGGCTTAATATTTGTATTATTTAGTTTGAAATGGAACTGCACTGTGTACCGCACTGTGTAAGTCCTTCATGACTTCAGGGTGCATTCAAAGCTCTTGTTGAATGTCTATATCTTAAAAGTACTAGGGTTTCAAACACATGTTGTTTGATGTTGTTACTATGAACTATGATGAAGTCTGCATGTAAGTATTATTTGACTATATTTTGAAAAGAAGGGAGCAGAACAAAAATTAAATTGAATCATTTTTACCTGTTATAAACCTTACAGAGTTTAGATCATAATGTTCTCAAGAAGTATTAATTTACTACTTATGCATGTTTACACTGTTGCATCTGAAATTTAATTTTGCATATTCATAAACCCAAAAAGATTTATGCATATTAATCTCCCAGAAACAGCTTCACATGACTAGCATTATAGTAACTAATAAATTAGCTCAAATTGCATGAAAGTAACTTCAGATAGAAAAATGCTATGTAGTGGATGTATTTTATATCATTCATTTCATATGGAGACATTCAGAGACCTGAACTCTAAAGAGTACAGGAAAAAAAAGAAACCAGTTTCATGCCAAGAACTTAACATCAACACAATCTCCTCCATTACAAAAAGCATTCCACATGCAGGAATTTATTTATAAAAACAGTTTAACACTAGAATGCCGTTCCATTATAGCATCAGTATTCGGAAACTTTTAAAAAAATCATTACATTCTACCCTTAACTGCTGAAGGGAGACAAGAACAGGAAATAAAGGTTTAAGAGTACCGTAAAGAGCCTTTTACTTAGGTCTCGGCTTATATCCATCAAAACAAGACAATTTTCTTTACTCATGACAATCCTGTTTGTCAATACTGCTGCCAGTGTTTCATATTTTGTTCCAGGTTGATAACCACTTACATGATTGATAAATGTCGTCATTTTGAAACACTGTTAGGACTTCCCTGCTGATGCCTTTTTCTGATAAGGTGAAAAAAGATAATAATAATCTTCAAAAAAGTCACTTAATTAGAATGATCAACAATGTTGAAAATCTGCTTCTTGTTTATAAAGTTAGTGACAAATGTGCTGATTATACAAATGGGAATAGCCATGAAGTTTTAAACATTGGGTCTCATATTATTTTCACTAGTAAAGTATTAATGTAAAATTGTCTGGTGTCAAGTAAAGTGTAACAATAGAACAAGCGCAGTTTTCAAGTTAATATGTTCTATTTCACTCCTGCTACAGGAGAGGACATATTTAAAGAGGCTGCAGGAAAATGGCCCGCAACCAAATAATACTGGTTCTCTTCTATGGAGAAATCTGGAAATCACTTTCTACAGCAATACCTGAAAACATTTCCATGAATAAAAGAAATGCATACACCAGTATCAGGAGTCCAATAGAAGACAAAGCTCCTCTGTATCAATTGCAAGCAACTGGACCCAGTTTGCACAAATCTGGAAGAGTACTGACTGTTACAACATCAGCTCAGTTCCCCAAAGCATATGCAGAACCGACCGATGGAAGCTGGATAGCAGCACTGATAATTGGCATAATTTTGATTAGTATGATAATGGCTATTATTATAATTCTTCTGTGGAAATGCTGCAAGAGGCCAGTTCTAGTTGATTCAAATTGGGCAGGTCGTTCTCCATTTGCTGATGGAGACACACCAGATGTCTTTATGGACTCTGACCAGGCTACCAAACGTTCATCAGTTTTATTTATGTTGCCTTGGAAACTGAAACAAGACTCAAACTTACAACACGGTCCCACTGCATCAGAGAAACCACCTCTCTGCACTACCAGGAATGAAAACAGCCGATCGCCCCCACCAGCCGAAGCCTGCTCCGTAGCCAGCAGTGCCGTTTCCAACAGCGATGCAGCTCCAGCTGCCCCCTCCGCAGCAGCAAGCTGTGCGCCCGATGCCCATCCTCACCCACCGGCTCTACCCGAATCCCCCGACCTGCCACCTCCACCTGACTGGCTTGGGGAACCCGCTGAGGATCACAGTTCAGATCTCAACAGAGACCAGGGATGTCACTCGGAAACAGAGGAGCAATTGCCCCCACCACCCGACTTCCCCATTCAAGAGATTCGCGAACCACTGCCCCAGCTGCCACAGCCAGAACACCCTTTGTAGATTGCCAAAGTTGATCTCCAGCATACTTCACATTTTTCTTAAATTAAGTATTCTTCAAATAACTGAAAAAAAAGGAGAAGCTGATGCGGGCAAGAACAGTGAGACCACAGCATCGGCATTTCCCCAGTGTTTCTTAACCTCAGCTTTCAAAAAAGGGAACAACCTACTTCTGCCTGAAGCAAATAATTTCAAAATACAGTATGGGTTGTGCCCACTAGTTATCTGTAACTAGTGATTCCAGATTTTGGAGACTACAGAAAACAGAACATCCACAACTCTGTGCGCCAGTGTATACATACATGTAACACACAGATAGGCACGGAGCTTTCAAGAAACAGTACAGCTTTAGAGGTACTCAGGGCTTCTAAAAATTGTTCTACTAGGCTGTATAAGTGAATGCAATTAATTCAAGTTCATTTTAATAAAGCTCTCTAATTCAAAGATGTTTTGGTCACTTAAAGCACAACTGAGTATTTGCTTAGACACAAAGCTTCAAATTCAAAAAAAAAGTCCAAATGCCTCGACATGCATACACATCTTCTTTTATACAAAGGCCCATTTTCTGCCTATAACTGGGTAACAACTTGGTAACAACGGATTACAGGTATCTGAAACAAATCCTCCTGACAGCCATCAGTTATTCTTTACTAATAGCGATGAGATTTCCTTTAGATCAAATATTGCCAAAAAGTTTACTGGTGTAAAATCTCCAGTCATCTCATGCAGAGAACAGTGCGAGTAAACAGTTAATACAGTGGTCACCAAATAACTGAAATGGCTCCAAACACTTGAAGAACAAGCACAAAAAGGCTTTCTTTTACCTAGACACTTTTGATTGCTATGGATAAAACAGAAACAGTTTGCAGAACACCCAGGCAAATGATTAGCAGATGTAGTTGTAGGTATTCACTATTTTCTTCCTTTGAACCAGTATTTTCAGAATGCACTCAATATCATTAATATAAACTTCAAAAATTAATTTAATGTTGCATGGATGCCAGACTACTCTTAACTCAAGGTGTCTTAAGTGTTTTACATGTTCCTTTCTGGGCCCTGAGTACAAGCAAAGCTCACCATCCTGATCTAAATCTTATTTTGATAAGCTAACTTTTTGGCAGGAAGTAGAAGGGTGGTCTCAGAGGTAAATTAATTTCTTCTTTTTTTTTTTTCCTTAGCAGTATTGAATGTTTAGATTTATAGAAGGAAGCTGCTAGATGCTGAAGCTAGCTTTCCACAACATCTCTGCAAATCGGCAAAGAGTTTGTAGTTTTGGGTTTATTGGGGAGACACTATATTTGTGGATGTTGCACAGAGCACATGTTTGCACATATTATAACAATAAACTTCAAAATCTTTAAATTATCACTAAAAATTTAAGTCATACGTTATGCAAATTCAATTCTAGGCTGCTGTGCATACAATGGACATAGGAAAAGATATTTACAGTTTTTTCTTACTGTTTATATAAGCTGTATGATTGTGTATGCTTAAAGAATAACATTCCAACTACACAAAGATTTTTTTAAGGCTTGTTGCATTACACCATGTTAAAAGTAACAGCATTATAAACTATATCCACTCTTCCCAGATTGTTTTGAGAAATTCAGATAAAGATTTCCTACAGAAATCTGCAAAATCCTACAAACTGAGCTATATTATACCTGACAATACAGTGATAGCCTGATACGAGGAGTAGAGAACTGAGTATTCTGGCAGTGTAGCTTTAAAAAAAGCTTAAGATAGGGAGCCTAAATTAATATTAACCTTTATTACAGGAGGAGAGGTTAATCGAAGGTAAAAAAGAACACAACTTAACATGACTTTTTAAATAGGAATATTTAAATGGAATCATAACTTAACCTAAAATAGCTTACAGAAATGTCACTCGGTACTGTTTATGTAGGCAATCTTACACGTTATGTTTTGAGGCAGTAACATAGCATAAAATCTAGGTATGGAGAAGTTAACTAATTCAAATTATAAAACCCAACTATTTTATTGAATATGCTCGCTTTGCAATAAATTTGAGTCAGCACCAACGACAGCTCTGCAGTCCTCCAGTGTAGTGCAGATCAGGTGGTTGCAGAGCCCCAGCTAGCAGCAATACGATGCAGCTGAAGAGGCAAGCACAATCCAGAGACAGCAACTGTAGCTACTCTCTAGAACAAGACGACCTCTAAGCTTAAATCTTTCACAGAAATGATGTGCTGATATAGCAGAAGAGATTACGGTAAGTTTGTGTTTTTTGTTTTTAATCACAAAAATCTACTACAAAATTAGAGACAGAAATAAGAACGATTATTAGTTGATGATAGATGCTTGCACCAGAAATTTGCTGCAGTGTCAGAGATTTCTTACTAACATTAATTCAGCTTTCAAACATTTGTTACCAGCTTTAAGAATGTAATTAACACTATAATAAGGAAAAATAATAACGTGCATGTTAGCATAAACATGGAATTTGGGTTTCAAACTAAATTCCTAACAATTTAAGATGTATTTTAACCAATTCTACTTAAGCAAATAACATGCATGTATGGGGGGGGGACACTGCTACATTACTGCAGAGATTTGTAAAGCAGATCCAGTTGACAGCCATTTTTTCATCCTGTATAAAAGAACACATTATTCCAAACATAATATAGGCTTGAAATCACTAAAAACAAGAAGCAGACATTGTATAACATTTGGAAGAGACTTGCATTTTCGGAAGAAAGCCCTCATTTGAGCTTGAGGGGGAAAGGGAGATGAAAAAACAAGTCTCATTCTGCCAGACAACATGACAGTCTATGAAGGGATGCTTTGTAAAGTCTCTCTTGAACAATTCTAAAAAGGACCATGCCACAAAGGGGTTTATTGATATTTTTACTTAATTTCTCCTGCAAGTGGTCATTGCAAAGACAACACTTATAAAGAAATAAAATATATTACATGGATTTAAAGGGTGTCATTTTGGTATATTTATTTTCAGGCAACAATGGAATACCAGATATTGAATACATCTACCTATCTGCTGGTCCTTCTGTTTTTCATACCCACTGTTTTGGGTATCTGTCCTTCTAACTGTACATGCTCAGGAAACGACAGGAACGTGGACTGTTCAGGCAGAAACTTAACTATACTGCCACATGGACTTCAAGACAACATTACATATTTAAATCTCTCCTTTAACCAGTTTGTAGATCTTGATCATCAGCTAACAAGATTCACCAATTTGAGGACCCTTGATATTTCAAATAATTGGCTCAAGAATGTTCCTGCTCATCTGCCCAAGTCCTTATGGGAACTATACGCCATAAACAACAACATTAAAGTTCTTCAGAAACTTGATACAGCTTACCAGTGGAATCTTAAAGTGCTCGATGTTTCCAGGAATATGGTGGAAAGAGCTGTTCTGATCAACAACACACTGAGCAGCCTCAAGTTTCTCAATCTCAGTAGCAACAAACTTTGGACAGTTCCAACCAATATGCCCTACAACATAGAGACAGTAGATCTATCCAATAACTTCTTGTCCCAGATACTTCCAGGAACACTGCTGAGACTCCAACACCTTACAAGCCTCTACCTGCACAACAACAAGTTCACATACATTCCTGACAAAGCTTTTGACCAGCTCTTTCAGCTGCAAGTAGTAACACTATATAACAACCCATGGTCCTGCAGCGATAAACAAAACATCCCTTATTTGCTTAAATGGGTGCAGGGAACAGCTGCCAGCGTTATAGGGGCTCCCTGTGCGAATCAATCCGTGCTCTGGATGAACGCCACACCAACTTCAGCAGCTCCCACAGTTATAGACTCCAGCCTCATGATTAAAGGAATGAAGGCAGCAGACAAAGCTACTTCTCCAGCGGCAACTGAACCAACCAAAATGACAAAAATGCATAAACAATTTAAAGCTAAGGAAGTTAGTACCTTGGCAACCTTAAGCCAAACTGTACTGTTTACGAGCACAGACCGACCGCTGCTCCTCTATCCAGAAGATCTGACACCTGGGAAGGTCAGTTCTCAAGAAGCAGCAGCCACACACACAATCTACATCAAAGATTCAACCGAGGTGAACTCAAGCCTGACTCCTTCAACAGGATCATCCACTACTCCTCTGACTTTAAGTATCACCAGTGGAGTGCCAACAAACTACTCCAAAATGCCTCAAAGCACAACTGCTACCTTAAGGAAAGAGGAAGCCACTACCAGTATTTTGAATACTCATGTGCCCTCCAAAGCAAGTATCTGTGAGATATATTTGGTTTATGTTGTGATGCTTAATGCAGTGGCAATGTTTATTGGCTAAGGGCTTGTAGCTCGAGAAAATGATTGAGTTTATTCCTGTGATACATAGCTGGAGTTAAAACATCCAGTTAAAATAACGAATCAAAATACCAGAAAGTCAAAGTTCTGACTCTGATCTAAAGAATAACAGTTCTTAATTAAAGAAGTGCAGACTAATGTCTTGATACTAAGCTGCTACTTATTTTCATGTCTTAATTGAGTAAAACTAACCTATGATTTCGTTTTTAAAAATGTGCTCATTTTGTATTTAAATTTTTAATTTTACTTGCACAGAATAAAACATCAGAATTTTAAGTACTGATTTTATGTATGATTTTGTCATTGAACTGGAAAAAAAAAAAATAGAAGGCCTGTATCATATCTGCATTGTCTTGCTTGACTTGCCAGTGAGCAATTTTGTAATATAGCAGCACAGATTCTTTGTAAGTTATGACAACGTGCAAAAGGAAGGGAAAAAAATATAAAGGAACTAAACCTAGCTGTTTCACTAACCAGAAGTTACTCCTGAGAAAAATCGCTAGCATGTATATCTATGTTTGCTTCATATGTATTAGGATATTTTAAATATGAAGAACAACAGTTTTGAATTTAGGAATTAAATATGACAATGCCATGATGTCTACTAAGAGGGTGTAAACTGAGAAGGCAACACAGTCCAACTTCAGCATGGAAAAAGTGGTAGGGTCTGATATCTCTTTTTGCTC